AAAAAAATAAAAAATAAAATACCAATCACCTCGTGTGTTACAAGAAATATTAGAGTTAACAATGCAATAAATCCTTTAACGGTTATTTCAGATTCAACCGCAAGCAAGAAACACAAGATCATTAAATTGGTATTTCTTGTCTTTTTGTTTCTCTCAATAGCTCCACGCACTGGTAAGTACTCATAACATTTACAAGTATATACTGAGCAAGAAAACATTCTTTAGGAATACAAATTTAATTGTGATTTTAATTGTTAACATTCTTTTATCACTTTTGAAAATTTCATGTGTGTACATATTTACACAATTTCTACCCAACGTTCTCCTTCGTCCAGCTCCTTCTGTGTCCTCCCTCTCCATCTCAACTTCATGATTTCTTCTTGATTATTGTTTTACACACACATCTATGTATTCATGTATATACATATGTATAGATAGATACAAATGTATAAATAGATACACAAGTATATATAAATGCAACATACTGGTCCATTCAGTTTTGCTTATTTGTTTTTTTGGTTTTTGGTTTTGGGCTTTGTTTTGTTTTGGGTTTGTTTGTTTTTGTTTTTTTCAAGACAGACCTCTGTATAGCCCTGGCTGTCCTGTAGACCAGGCTGGTCTCGAATTCAGAGATTCACCTGCCTCTGCCTCCCAATGCTGGGATTAAAGTCATGTACCACCACCACCTGGCTAGAGAAAGTGTTTTTACTAGCCAGTTAGATCTAATTAATTGATTGCTATTTGGTTCAGTTAGGCCTTTGAGACTTTCTGCTTTGAGGTCTATCATTTATAGAGGGAAGTTGAAATCATCGACTATGATAGTGGATTTATCTAGATCGTTTGAACTTCTGGAAGTTTTTGCTCATATATTCCGATCCTTTCTTGTTAGGTGTTGATACAAGGACATAGATAGCTCTCACTTCAAAGGGAATAAGAGATGGTTTATTCTGGAACCAATTATGAGTGGCTATGACCTGGGAACATGGATTCAGGTTACCTAATACTGTGTTTCAACATGACAATAGTTGGATGAAATTGTTATAATGACAGAATAGAGAAAACCCTGAATCAAGACCCTTTTAAGGCTCAATCTGGGAGGAGGGGACTGGACCTGCCTGGACTGAGTCTATCAGGTCGATCCCAGTCCTCGGGGGAGACCTTGATCTGAAAGAGGTGGGAATGGGGGGTGGACTGGGGGGAAGGGGAGGGGGGCAGGAAGGGAAAGAACAAGGGAATCTGTGGCTATTATGTAGAACTGAATAGTATTGTAAAATAAATTAAAAAAAATAAATTCTTGAAAAGTACAGACACATGAAAAAAAAAAAGACCCTTTTAAATGCATTGATGAGATCATCAGGTAGGCAGGCCCAGCCAAGAAGCCTCAGCTTGGGCAGCAGGTGCTAGCTGATGATAGTCTGAACTCTGGGTTGGTGGAAACTGTATATTCCAAAAGATGTCACCTGATAGTCACAAGGATGCTCGGTCAGACACAGAAGCGGGCTCTGGATGGCTATTAATAGGGCTAATGATAGTCAAGATAAGTCGGCTCTAGATCTGCAACATTCCAAACTCTCCCCAAACACGGAACTTCTAACCAGCTAATCAGCCTAAAGAATCTTTAACACAGGTGAGGCTTTGTCCTGGCACTTCAGTGGCCAACAGTAAGAACTATTGTGTCTTCTGGGAGAATTGACCTCCTTATCATTTAATGCCATTCTTTACCCCTGATAATTGTCTTTCCTTAAAGGTCCTTGTGGTCTAAAATCAATGTAATTACTCCATCTCTGTTTTGGTCAGTATTAGTGTGTCTATTTTTCATCCTTTTACTTTTTTTTTCTGCCTAAACTGATCTTGAATTCCGGATCTTTTCCCTCCTGCTTCTACCTCCTGCAAGCCAGGATTATCGGCACACACCATCACAATCCAGATCCATCCTTTCACTTTGAATATATCCGTGTCTTTATATTTAGGAGACATTTCTTATTTGTTTTAAAGATTTTATTTACATAATTATTTTACATGTATGGGTGTTTTGCCTGCATGCATGTCTGTGTACCACGTGCATTCAGTGTCTCTGGAGGACAGAAAAGGGCAACAGATTTCCTGCAACTGGAATTATAGATGGTTGTGGGCCACGATGTTTGCGCTGGGAATCAAACCCAGGTCCTCTGGAAGGGTGGCCAGTGATCTTAACCACTGAGCCAACTCTCTAGCCCCCCTTTTAAAAACAAGTTATTCTCTTGCTCTCTTTCTTTCTCTCTTTCTTCCTTCCTTTCTTTTTTTCTTTTTCTTTTCTTTTCTTTCTTTCTTTTTTTTTTTTTTGAGACAGGGTTTCTCTGTGTAGTCTTGGCTGTCCTGAAACTCACTCTGTAGACCAGGCTAGCCTTGAACTCACAGAGATCCGCTGGCCTCTGCCTCCTGAGTGCTGGGATTAAAGGCATGAGCCACCATCACCCGGCAAGGATAGATCTCTTAATTGAGCCCAGAACTCATTTGCAGGGTCTCTGTACAAATAGCCGGCTTGCCCCAGGGATCTGCTGTCCTGACTTTCAAACACTTGAGTGACACATGGGCCACCACACCCACCTGCTTTTACACATGGCCACCACACCCACCTGCTGTTATGTAGGTTCTGGGGATTCAAACTCCAGTCCTCATGATTTTGAGGCAAGCACTTTATCTGCTGAGCTGTCTCCCAGCACCAAGGCCCTTTTAATCCTCTTTTTATAGTTATTAGTGTAACATTTGAAGTTATACAAACTATGTGATTGTAGCAGTATGGGAATGATGACTGAGAGACTCTAAGATTACACACACACACACACACACACACACACACACACACCCATATGTAACAACCACTAACAGGATATGTGATGCTCTCCGACACTCCTCAGATGCACATCTCTTGAAAAACACTGGAGACACAAGAACGGTGTGACTGAGCAGATCTGAGGTGCCATCAAAGTTTCCCTTGATTGCTTTTATGTGTCTTGGATAGGTGAGTGGTACCGGACTGGAAGCCACTTCAATGATGAGCCACAGAACCGGGCCTGGGGAGGCAGGCAAAAGTCCCCCAGGATCCAGGGCATGGGAGGACCCAAGCTGGTACCGGTATTGCTGTAGACCAGTCAGATCTGCAGGCGGGAGAAAGGACAGGAGGCAACCTGTCAGTGTCAGGAATGTCTTTAAATGCCAACTAGAGGAATCCCTAATTTGCTGTAGAGACAGAACTCAGGAAGCCCCACGGGTGACACAATGCAGACAGCCAAGCTTAATCCAGTGAGGAGAGGCTAAGGCAGGGTTTCTCTATGTAGCCCTGGCTGTCCTGGAACTGGCTCTGTAGACCAGGCTGGCCTTCAGCTCACAGAGATCCACCTGCCTCTGCCTCCTGAGTGCTGGGATTAAAGGCGTGCACCACCACTGCCGCTGCTGCTGCTGCCGCCGCCGCCGCCACCGCCGCCGCCACCACCACCACCACTGCGGGGTTTGATTCTGTTTTGAAAACTGATTACGCTTGAGCCTTTAGATCTTTGGCCCCTACTCAAATGCAAGCGACCATCGGAGTTCTTCCTGGGATCACTGTGACACGAGAAGCCCCTCAAAAAATCATAAATAATTTTTATTTTTGTTTATATTCTAGTTAAAAGCCATCTTATGCTGCACATGGTGGCACATGTCTGTAGTTCCAGAGGCTGATTCAAGAAGATCTCTTGAGGCAGGAACTCAAGAGCAGCCTGGATAACACAATGAGACCCCAACTGAAACCAAACCAATGAGTAAACAGGTTTCTCCTTTGGAAAGACCTTTATTTCTCTTGCATTATAGGAATCCATTCCCTTTAAAAGTGAGTATTGGCTTTATTTGGGGAGAAGGAACAAAGGGATGAAGGAAGGAGGGAGGAAGAGAGGGAGGAGAAAGGACGAGATTCAGGGGACATGCGGGCTGTGCCCTCTCCTGCCTGCTCTCCCAGAGGAAGATCTGGGGAATCCCATCCACGTCCCATCATGCTGCAGCACGCGGCGTCGCAAGAACAGCAGCTGCTAGCCTTCTTTGGTACCTTATTCATCATGCATTTATTTTTATTGAGCTTTGTCAGAGGCAAAGGAGCTCCCGATAAGCAATAACTTTAGTCCATTAAAAACAAACAAAAACCCCTGAAAACAATGGGCAACTTTAAGGGGACTGGAGGCACGCAGAGGGAGGTCAAAGGGCAAACACCACAGGAGCAAATGGGGCAAAAAGTCCTCTAGAGTTCAGGCCGCAAGACTTGACACGGGAACCACTGTCCGGGGTCTTTCTCTTTCCCTTTGGAATGCTCACAGCACTGGCCGGCCGCTGGGGATGTACCCTGGAAGCCCAGTCCTTTGAAGACCCCTCCCCAGGCTCACCCGCCAGGAGCCCTCCCCCTCTGCCCTGCCCTCCAGCAGCAACGCTGCCTCTCCACTTCTGCTCCCATGCTTGGGGTTCGAGCCCTCTTGCACAGGTTAACAGCCGCCACCCCACACCATTGCCGCATGGAAGATGTGTTTACTTATTCGTGTGAGAACTCAGTACAGGCCTGGGCGTCCCACCCTCTTCGTGTGTCTGGGAGTCGCCACGTCCACGGGGGTGTTCAGTGACCTTCCAACCCCTCCCCACCATCTCGCCACACTCTCTCCAGTGACACTACCCAGAAGCCAGAACGACCTTGCTTAGCAGATGATCACACAGACAGGCACGACTGTCTAATTCTAGCCAAGGGCATGGGGAAAGGACAGCGCCCCGGGGCCTGTGGCTTCTCTGCTGGGAGGGCTCAGGGCTAATAATAGGAGGGGAGATTAGGGACGGATTTGAAGTGCATTGTTATCTCACAGGAATGGCCTTCAAGAGCCTTTCCCAAGCTTTCCCAAGAGCTGTGCCACCCCCCCCCCCTTATGCCGTGTGGCTGAGGAATACCACTGTCACTTACTTCATCCCCATCAGCTCAGCCCCCATGGGTCCTTCACCCCACCCCCGCCCCACGCCTGGTTTCGCCTCTGCCTCTCTGCCTCCATGCGCTTCCTGCCGCGACTTCCCACAAGTCTCCCCACCCCTGGTTCCCACATCTGGCCAATGCTGGCTCCTCCTGTTCCACCTTCTCTCCTCCCAGGAGCATCACTGTTTCCAGCTGTGGGCTTCAGTTTGCTTTTCCAGGCTCGTGGCCTTTGCCGCCCTCCCTCACCCATGTGTGCCAACTCTGTGCCCACTCCTCTGCCCTCCGCCTTCTCTTCCAACAGAGCTGGACAAACACAGGCCACAGAGGCTGAGGTGGGGCTAATGAGCTCCACTCCCCCAGGCACGGGGACACCTCTGAGAACAGGGCTTGGGACATGACAGGCTACGGAGGCACCTTGCAGAGCCCAGCCATGGCTATTCTTAGGAACCCAGCCCCACAAAAGGACCTCCGCTTTGTCTCATTCCACCCCCACGGAGTTGCTCTTGGCAGCCAAGACTGTAATCTCAGAGACGAGGGGCCCAGCACGGGCCCCTTGCACAAGCCCAATCCTCTGCCCTGGTTTCTCTCCACCACGAGGCACTGACCTTGGGCAAGGTCACCTCCCCTGTGACAAATACACACAGCAGCCAAGCTCTGACACTCTTTCTACGGTCTTGGCCTGTCCAGAGCCCGGTGGGGCCAACCTCTGGCAGCCCCACCCTTGGACTTTGCAGACAGCCTCATCTGCTCTTCTCTCCAAAAAACAAAACAACAAAAAACCAACCACCACATTCTCCTGCTCCTTTCCCGTTCTTCCAGCTCAGAATGGGTCAGCTCTTCTAGCCTGGTAAATTCCGAGGCCTTTTCTACAGCCTCCTCTCTTCAGACTTCGGGGAGTCTGCCCAGCTCGCAGTTTCTATCTGTCCCCAGGCCCAAGCACAACTCTAACCCTCAGGCCGCCTGCAGCTCCTGGAAGGCAGGCACCCCACGAGGAAAGCAGCAGCCAGCCCCTCAGGTCCCTTCTTCCAAATGTGACTCGGAGCCTCAGGTCAGGGAGTGACTTGCTACCTTCTCCCATGCTCAGGAAAGCCGGCATGTGTGTGTCTACTTGTTGACTTAATCCGTTTTTAATTCTTGTTCGGAAAGTCGGACACACAGTGGTGGGCTGCATGTCTGGGCAGTACGGGAACATCAGAGAACATTCTACCAAGTTCTTAAAGAACAGCAAGGGCCCAACCCAGAGGTAAGGGAGCCATCCCAGGCCTGGGTTATAGGTTGAGCATCTAGACATTGTAATTCTAGGATAAATCACAGACATTGAAACATGAGCAAAGGCTGACCCTGGGTCTCGAGGCATGGTTTATTTCCCAGACCTCTATGTACCCATTTTACCTTAAGAGCAGAGACCTCTGGAGACTGAGATGCTTGTCAGGCCAATCAGCGAGAGCCAAGGCCTGAGAGTGAGGGACTCCATAAGCTCCAGGACGAGCTCCCTCCATGCGTCTGTGGAGTGAGGAGGGAGCCCTCAGCCTTTGCGTCTGTGAGTCCCTCTCATACTCTCTGAGTATTTACAAGCCACCCTCCTAAGTTCCAGAAAGAGAGCTGGGAATGAGGAAACGGTACCAGAAAAGACAAAAGGGAGCAGAGAACAAAGCAAGGAGGTCTCTCTTCACCGTACCCCACATGCTTGGGGCTGCCTTATCTGAAAAACAAAATCAACCACGCTATCTGGCCTGCTTCCCTCCGGTCAGTGTTTGGTCTCATTCATTCCATTTGGCAAATCACTCGGTTGAAAGGCATAACCCCCACTGCCTGCACTTCCTGGCTCGTTCTTTATTAACTCTCATCCACGCCATCCTTCTCCTTAATTAAATCAGCAGCCAGGCTCTGCCTGTGACTCTCCGGAAGCTGCTTCCTGCAAGATGACCCAAGTTCTCTTCTCTGTCACTTGGCCTTTCTTTGGAATCTGACACTACTGGCCACCTGCTTCTCTTGAAATACTTCTGTGATTTCTAGGAAACTTCTCTCTTCTTATTCTCTTTGGCTCTCTCTCTTTCTCTCTCTTTTTTTTTCCCATTCCTAATCTTTAGTGTGTGTGGTGTATGTATGTATACACATACATGATGATAATGTGTGTAGACATTCTAATCTTTAATGTGTGTGTGTGTGCACATGCATCATGTATAATAGATATTTTCATGCTACGGTACACACGTAGAGGTCAGAGCACAGTTTTTCAGAATGGTTCCTTCCTTCCACATAATTTTGAGGCAAGTCCTCTTTTCTGCTCTGTTGCATTTTCCAGACTAGTTAGTCCCAACAATTCTCCTGCCTCCACCTCCCATTTTGCCATAGGAGTGCTGGAATTATATATGCTTGTTATCATATCCAACATTTTATTTTATATTTTAAAGATTTATTTATTTTTTATGTTAGGAGTGTGTGTGTGTGTGTGTGTGTGTGTGTGTGTGTGTGTGTGTGTGTGTGTGTGTGTGCTCTGCATGGATGTCAGGGCACCACAGGCATGCAGTGCCCACGGAGGCCAGAAGAGGGCGTTGGCCCCTGGAAATTAAGTCACGAATGGTTGTGAGTTGCCACGTGGGTGCCAGGACCTGAGTCCTCTGCAAGAGCATCAATGAGCCATCTCTCTAGCCCACATGCAGCTTTTTAAAGTGGGCTCTGGGATCAAGCACAGGTCATCAGACTTCCCTGGCAAGTACTGTGCTCACCGTACCGTCTCCATCTAGTCTCTGTGGGCTTCTTCTTTCCTTCCCTTCTTCCTTGGGCTGTGGGTCTCTCTTGAGTCTTTCCTCTTGTCTCCAAGCTCATGGCATCTCACACCACCATAAGGTAACCAGCTCTCAGCCGCCAGCCCTACCTGCCAGGCCACAATTCTCACCTCCTTCTGGGACACAAAACATGTTCTATTAGTTGTCCCTTGTTACCTCTAACCACTCACACCGAGTCTCTATCCTGCCTGTCCGAGGGCTTGCCCCCTTGGTGCCCGCCCTCATCCTTGCTGATGCCCTCCCCTATGATTTTTCCTTCCCAATTTCCCGGAGCCGGTCTGCTGAAGTGCACTGTATCCCCTCCTTAGGAATGCCTGCCGGCCTGGTCCTTTCCCTCTCATGCCTCTCCACTTTGATTGAGGCTTTAACCTCTGCTACAGTCTCCTGGCCTCTGGCCTCTCCTCCCCCCAGGACCCAGCCGGACCCTCAAACCGTCCTTAAGACGTCACACTGACCGCGGTCCGGCGCTGCAGTCACTGTTCATTGCACTCACGGTGATATTGTACATTTTGCTGGTCTGAGAAATATGGCAGATCGGTAGACAGCACTCTGGAACAAAGCAGACCCAAGCTTGAATCCTAAGGCCACATGCCCTGCCTGACTGGGCAACCATCTTATTCCCTTTGAAGCCCACTGCTGACTCACAGACTGTGATTTGAATGACAGACGGTTGTATTGACTGAGATGTGTCTAACTCTGTGCCGAGAGGAACTCACATATAGACCGTGAAAGTTCATGGTTTTTTTTTTTTTTTTTTCCCTTTCTACCTGACATCTCCAAAACCACACAGCAATCTGACAAGAGAGGTTTCCCTCAAGTCCTTTCTAACTCACCACACCATTCACCATCCACGCTTTGGACCGTACTGATTTTTACTGCTGGGAACACAGCTGGGCACACAGTGTTTCTCAAAGCCCTCCCCTCCTTTAAACTCCAGGTCTGTGTTCCCACCTTAATACATGTAACTGTGTCGGGCCCATAGAGGAAGATATCTTTAGCCTCTGGATCATTCTAGATCCAGGCCCTGTTTCATTACAGATGGTTGTGAGCCGCCTTGTGGGTGCTGGGAATTGAACCCAGGTCCTCTAGAAGGGCCCCCAGTGTTCTTATCATCTCTCTACCCACCCCCCTCTTTGAGACAAGGTCTCTACAGCCCAGACTGTTGTAGAACTCACCGCGTAGACTAGGCTCGCTTTGGACTCATAAAAATCTACCGGTCTCTGCCTCTTGGGTGCTGGAATTGACATGTGCTACCACATCCGAATTTTCTCCTCTTCTTAAAGAAAGATTTATTTACTTTTGTTTTACATGTATGGGTTTTTGCCTGTATGCATATGTACATTATATGTGTTGCTAGTTCCTGTGGAAGCCAGAAGAGGGCATCAGATCCCTTGGAACTGGAGTTATAGAAGGTTATAAGCTGCTGTGTGGGTTCTGGGAAACAAACCCAGGTCTTCTTCAAGAGCAGCAAGTACTCCTAACCAGTGAGCCATCCTCTCCAGGCCCATCTTTTGCTCTTTTTCAGTTTGCCCATTTTTTTAAAATATGCATACTGTCCTGATTAGTTTTGTTGTTGTTGTACCAATTTGACACAACTAGAATCATTTGAAAGGAAGCAACCTCAGTTGAAAAAATGCCCCCATCAGGTGGGCTTTCTTGATTAATTATTGATGTGGGAGGGCACAGTTCAGTGTGGGTGGTGCCAGTCCTAAGCAGGAGGTCCTTGGATGCTACAAGAAATCAGAATGAGGGGCTGGAGAGATGGTTCAGTGGTTAAGAGCACTGCCTGTTCTTCCACAGGACCAGAGTTCAATTCCCAGCAACCACATGGCAGCTCATAACTGTCTGTAACTCCAAAATCTGACACACCCTCACACAGACATGCATTCAGGCAAAACACACACACACACACACACACACACACACACACACACACACACACACGAAACCAGAAAAGCAAGCCAGCAAGCATTTAGTTCCTGCCTCCAGGTTCCTGCCTTGAGTGCCTGCCCTGACTTCCCTCATTGATGGGGAGCATGGACCTGAGAGTTGTGAGCCGAAATAAACCCTCTCCTCCCAAGTTGCTTTTGGTCATGGTGTTTTATCATAGCAGTAGAAACCCTAACTAAGGCATATACTAAAGAATTTACCAAGTCAGCTTGAGGATAGTAACAGCAGCAGAACCCTGACTGCGAGCCGAGAACTCGGTAGTTACTCGGTCCTTGAAGCTGGGTGTCTCAACAGTCAGGGCATTCCCGCAATGGCTGTCTTTCATTAGCAGAGTCTCATGAGAATCCCTGGCTGTCCTGGGAGTCTCTATATAGACCAGGCTAGCCTCGAACTCACAGAGATCTGCTTGTCTCTGCCTCCCGAGTGCTGGGATTGAAGGTCTATACCATCTTGCTAAGCTAAGTGTGCCCAATGTTTTCACATAACAATACTCTATCCTTCTCCTTCAGAGGTTTCTACATCCTTGGCTGATCCTAAGATCAGGGATATCTGAAGGATTCCTGGCTGCCCCACCTCCTGAGGGCCACCATTTAGCCTGTCTCCTCCCTATAACCTGACTGCCCATCTCCACCAGCAGCTTCACGCAGAGTCCCTGAGATTTTCAGGCCAGGACACAAAAAGCATGAAGCTGGGCCAACTTCTGGGGGTCTTGGGGTACACATTGGTCATGAGAGAAGCTCCACAGACAGCACAGAGCAGCGGTAGCTTTCCTGGCTCCAGGCTAGCCTGTGGGGATGGGTTGGGTCGAGGTCCACCTGAAGAACATAGCCTTCAACTGAGGAGACATGGTGGAGCCGAGGGAAAAGTGCGGGCCGAAACGTATGTGATGGAGCTAGACCACACAGCTAGAAACTGAGGAGCTGGGCCTCCAGTGGGTCTCTGCACCCCCAGAAAGCCCCTTCTAAGTTCCCTCGGGCTTCTAGACAGTGTCCCCTCCAAACACTCTTGCAGGCGAGATCTACCTGCCTACAGCACTCTGATTGAATCCGGGCTGCCTCTCCAGCTGGCCCTCATCTATCAAGAGAAGGGAGTCTGGGCTATTGTGGCGGCTGGCATGCAGAGTACAAAAGATTTTGGAGCCAGCCGGAACACAAAAGAATGACAAGAAGTAGCAGCTGTTTGTAAAGAGAAACCTGAGACAGCGCTAGCTCAGCTCCCTAATCCCGGGGTCCATGTGGAGCCAGGGACAGGGTCCCCCAAGGTCAGAGATTCTAGGGGCCCGCCCACTAGGAGGGCTGCCTCCCACCCCCAGGTCTCCTCTCTCCTGTTCACAAACAACTGATGCTTCCTTCCTTCTCTTGGGCCAGAGGCCTACCTCTTTCATTCTCCTTCTGTCCCTCTCCCTGGGGGTTTTGGGATTCCTTCTAGATTTCTCTCTTTTCACACTCAGGTATCTTCTGCTTTAGCCCGTATGCCCCCCGCCCCCTCCCACCTCACCCTAATTCCTGGTGGTAATTTTAGCACACTTTCCGCTGCTGGCCTCCACTGGCTCATTCACAGCAAATGGCTCCTGTTTGGGACTGACATTTGATCAGTGTGGTGACAGAGCCCAGACAAAGCAGGCACAGTGCCTGGGGGCAGGGGGTGGGGGGTGGGGGGGTAGGGAGGCAGATCACCTTCCTTCCACTCAGGCCTTATTTGGTCTACCTTGGCGAAGCGGCCCTCCCTCCAGCCCCTCTTTATTTATAGCATTTGCTCTGTCTCCTTTGTCTTGTCGGCTGTCACTCTGCAGTGCGCCGCACAATTGCCACCCACTCCTCACATGGGCAGGGCCCCCACTCTTCCCGCTAGGAACGTGCGTGTGTGCGAAGCCCCCCACCCCCCACCCCGGGGCCACCGCTACAAACAGTCGGACAAGGCTGCCCGGAGCAGGGGTCTTTGTTTTGGTTCACTGTTCCGTTTATCCCCATCGTCTAGAATGATGCCAAGCCCATAGCAGACACTCAGGAAATACTTGCTTAGGCAAGGATGGGCAAAGCCACCCAGCCTTCCAACAGCAGCAAACAGAAGGAGGGACTCCAAAGCAGGTGTTAGAGGGGCTGGAGACTGGGTGGGAATTTTTAAGGACACCAGACCCTCCAGTCTGGGATATGAGGCAGAGAACTTAAAAGTTAGGAAAGTGATTTATATTCTGCATTGGGGACACTGAGGACAATACACCCAAATACCCATCGACCAAAGCCCTCCAAACCTGGAAGGAGGCAGAAAAGGGGAGTGATTAAGTTACGAATTGGAGAGACAGTTTCCCAATCCCTCAGCCAATCCCTCCACCACGCAGGCCAGCCCAGCGTAAAGACACTGGCTTTAAAATGGCTCACCTGCATCCCAGGCATTATTTATCCATTCATGCACCTGTGCCTGAGCCCTATTCCTGAGCAGGGCAGGGCAGCGTCTCTATGCTTTGTGCCTCGTGCTTAGAAAGCTAAAAGGGTATGAAAGAGCAGCTTTCCTCCAATCCTGGAAGTCCCTCCCAGTGAGGCTGATCCATTAATATCTGGCAAGGTCTGAAAGGGACCCCCAAAATTTGTTCTACTGGGCATGTCAGGAGCAGGACCTGCTCCTTAGCAACTGCAGCTCTCCAGCTGCAGTGGGATGCACCCCCTACGGTCTGTAGCCTCTCCCGCCACGCTGCACTGCGCATACAGCCGCTCTGCGTCCTCTGACTTGTGCTTCGGTTACCAAGAAACCCCAGAGAAGCCCTTCCTGGAATCTCCCTTTCCTGCTGTGCCCACCCCACCTTCAAAATGTACCTGCTTTGCGCCCCATCCCCCAGGCCCGCCTCTCTCCTTCACACTGACATCCAAGCAGCTGGATTAATCCGCATGCGCTCAGAGCTGGGCTTGGGAAGAAAGGGGATGTCAAACCAGACCACGAGGCGGTTGCCTAGACACCAAGCGGCGAAGCTTGCATAGGCCAGGCTGGGAGAACAAGGACGGCCTGTGCTCCGTCCAGAGGCTGGGCACCAGCGTCGCTCCCAGGGCCTGCAGGAAAAGGGGAGATTTTTTCCTGTCCTGTCCCTTTCTCCACTTGTAAGAACCAAGACTGCATCCACATCTGAACACAGGTTGGGTGGGCCAGGCAACAGTAGCTGTCTCATCTGCAGCCCTGGGAGGCTCAGCCCTTGTGCCCCTGGAATCTGCAGGGCAGAGCTACAGTCAGGAAAGCTCTAACACAGGACCATTAGGCAACTGTAACTCCTCCACACCTAGTGGCCAGTACTTCCTCGGAATCCCTCGCCCTCCCTCCCTGGCCAGGACCAACTTCCTATCTGCTGAGGTCCCTCCCTTGGACTCTTGCTCCCCTGAAACTGTGTGACCTTCGAGGTCCCACCTCCATAAAGTGAAGCAGTTGGATGGTTCACTAGGGACTTGCCTGGCTCCCAAGCTCAGTGATCTCAACGCATTGCCTGCTGGCCCAGGGAAAGCGGAGCCTGAGCCCGAGTGCCAGTGTCTAAACTCTCTGGTCATTCTCCTTACCACTTAACTAGGACGCTGCCTCCCCGCAGCCCCAATCCAGCCACCATACCAGGGCCGTGCCCCTCTTTGCTGCTGCGACTCAGCCCCTTCCCACCTCAGTCCGAGGTGGGACTCAGGCCAGGAGAGTGGGGAGGATCCTGGAAGTAGCACCAGGCTCTGCTGGGGGCAAGAGCTCTAAGGAGCAGCAGGGCCAGAGCCAGGGCCAGGGCCAGGGCCCTGCCTGCCTGCCTGCCTGCCTGAGGTCATGGTGGTCGTTGTCAGCTTACTCTCTCCAGCGAGCTGTGGAATGTAAGAGATATTTTTGCTTCGCTTTGAGCCACCCCACCCCCTGGAACTCAGACCCTGAACATGCCATGCCACAACAATGACGACCACTTCCAATTGTTTCCTGGCTGGGGGGGGGGGAGCACTGTTGGGACAAGGGAAGGGGGAGGGAGTCAGGGGGAAATGCTTTTAGTGACAACAGCCCTTTCTAAATCTGGCTGGGGACTGGGTGCAGGTGGGGGTGGGGGCACCCTGCTGCCCCATATATACAGTCAGTCCCCGAGGCTAGGTCTGGCTCTGAGCAGTCTCCTGCTGGTTCCTTCCTTGCTGCCCTCAGGTAGGAGTGGGAGCTAGAGGCCTTCCTCTGGGATTAGGGGCTCCAGGTTCAGGAAGAGATTCTTCTAGAACAGCAGGCTCCTGGCAGGACTTCGTATAGTACCTGGTTATGACTGAGCACACCTGTGCAGATCTAAATAGGCATGCTCGTGTCACAGGAATGTGGGGGCCCATGTGTTCCCCCGGTCGGGGGGGAGTATCTGTATCTGTCTATGGCCCAAAATGCAACAGTGGTGTGTGTGTGTGTGTGTGTGTGTGTGTGTGTGTGTGTGCACTTGCACACATGTGGGTGCACACTTGAGTACAAGCATCCGTGTCTTAAACGTAAGGATGAGTATACATTTCACCCCGTAAGATACAATGGAAGACGTGTTTACCATCATGCCTGGTTACAAGCATTTTAGGAGAAGAGCCGAATGGTGGAGAATAATTCTAAAGGAAGCCAGTTCTGTGAATAGTGGAGCCTGTCCGCGTTTGTGGAAGGGCCTGACTGTACACGGAGGAGTCATTACTAGGTCTCTGTGTGTATTCGCTGTGGTCGGGGCTCACAGGCATGCATGTGTGTGTGTGTGTGTGGGTCTCTGATCTCTGTTCTGAAGAATATGCAGCCACAGGAGCCAGCCTTTGTACCTGTTTGTTGAGGCTCATAAACACCGTGGGGGCGTGCATGCTGGGCACCCATTCCCTCCTCAGATGGGAAGGAGCCTATCCTTCACGGAAAGAATGCACACACACAGCAGGCATGCATGTTCATTGGAGGCTGTGGAGGAGGCAATGGGATGGATGGTAGTGGTAAGAGGGCTGTTGGAATCCTGGGACTTGAACCCGCGAAGTCTTGACTCTTGTGTTGTGCTCTGAGAAAAGCAAACCATTCAGCCTTGATTGCCTCATGTGACCAAGGGGTGACCATTGAGCAAAAGAATAAAAGTGCTTTGTCTGGAAAACACTGAACCAATGTCACTGTTACTGTTTTGTAGGTGGCTCAAAGGAAAGACATCTCCCCAGCCGGGCACAGGTAAGGGTAGAACGCCCCCCAAGGGTAGAACACGGCTCAGAGGCTCGGGGAAGTTGTTCAAATTAGTCTTTGGGAAAAAAGGAAATAGAGCTTGAAAAGGAAGGAAGAGAATGACCAGAGAGGCTGACCAGAGCTTCTAGTCTCTCTTTGGTGTGGAGGAGGGTGGGTGTGGAAGAACACAGCCAGAGAGGAGGGAGGAGGGAGGCGGGAGGTGGCCGTAGCCAGGTTGGCCTACAGCCTGACCTGACACAGCCCCTTCCCTTTCCCCAGGTCTCCCCCCTACTTCCTCATCACTAGACACGTTCGAGAAACCAAGGTAAGCAAAGCAGATGTCCAAGGGATCTGGGGAGGCTGAACATGATAGCCCAAAGCCAAACCGGAACTGTCCTTTCTTGCCCTGCTTGGGGACAATGGCCTGGTTTCCAGGAGCTCCTTACCTATGGTCAGTGATAGAGGCAGGCAGAATCCTGCCCCGCAAGAAGGTCAGGACACTCCCCAAAGAATGCCCCAACTTGAACAAAAGTAAGCTGCCCCCTTTGCCTGGCACAGGTGCCAGACTGTTCTCTCATTTAGGGGTAAGCTTGAAGAACCAGGGACTCGCGGGTGACTCCTCTCCAGTGCCGAGCATGATGCCAGACCCGGGGGCTGCCACTGAAGGGGAGAGCCCAGGGAGGGGGAAGGCATACAGGTAACAGTTGCTACTCACCCCAGGCTCAGCCATGGCGGATGCGGAGATGGCTGCGTTTGGGGCTGCAGCTCCCTTCCTACGCAAGTCTGAGAAGGAGCGGCTGGAGGCGCAGACGAGGCCTTTTGACCTCAAGAAAGATGTCTTTGTGCCTGACGACAAAGAAGAGTTTGTCAAGGCCAAGATTGTGTCCCGAGAGGGTGGTAAAGTCACTGCTGAGACAGAGAATGGCAAGGTAGGTGTAGGCACTGGTGTGGGAA